AGCCAGAGTAACATTTGAATTTGAGTACATTTTGATGAGAAGCAAACTGAACCTTCGAATAAAGCTCCAAAATGTTTATCATGCCTTTGTTTTCCACATAGATGATATTAATGATGTAGATAATAATGATGGTGATATTACCATTTAAAATAGTAATAACGGTAATGATGACGATCATCATCATAATAATAACAATAGTAATAATAATAATAATAATTATTATATTATTATTATTATTATCATCATCATCATTATTTTATCATCATTATTACCATTTTATTACTGTTATCATTATAACTAAAGTAATGAAAATGATAAGTATAAATATGAACATTTTTCTCTACAACCGGTTTGTATCAAACTCATCAGGTATCAAGAGATTCCTATCGATATATATCTACTAGCGAAATATACCAGGAACTGTCGGTACGTAATTACTGAATCAGCACAATATGAATGTATTATTTTTATCATAATCATTATCATTACTGCATTGTTATCGTCACTGCTATTACATTGTCATTGTTATCTGTAATTAACATGTTTTGTGTCTGCACCTCTGCCGTAACAAACGCACAGGTTCTGTATACAACGGCGTCATAAAATATGCCTTCCGTTAATCGCAAAAGCAAAGAAGAGTATACCTAACCTTACGCGCACGTTGCACTAGTGGACAGTCGGCAGTCTGTGTGATGGTCCTACACGATTTCCAAGCACCATGGGTTTCGTGTCCTACCGCCAGCTTGCGTGACAGTGATGATAAATTGTCTCTGTTTGGTCAGTCTGGTAATTATTGAGTCCGTAGCTGGGGTATACTGTGCGTGACTACACCCTGTTTCATACCGGCGTGTTATGATGATTGATTTCGTGATTCTATGCGTATATTCCCCTCTACTTCTACTTCTTAACCGTGGTGTAGAAATACACATAAGAAATTATTCTTTTTTGTATTAAAGGTTGTCCTGTAAACCTTTCTGTTTGATGTAAATGTGTTTAGTAATACAATTATCTAAACCTGATGCACTCTGCTGCGTCTCCCGACTCTGAGGCGCATCCGCAAAATGCTGACTATGCTGAGCAGACTAGATTAAACCGGCCCTCACTCACTCAGCTCATCTCACTCATCACAGCGCCTCACGTCCGGACTCGTTTATTCATACATTTACGCATACCTGGGACATTTGCTCGACTCGTGACTCTGTCCTTGGGTCGATCTGAAAGCGAGTTGTACAAGGATTTATAACTTCATGGTCGGTAAGAGATATTTAAGGTGCATTTGATTGAACAGTATGATTACGTTACTCGTATAACTTTACAGTGATTTGAGCCAAGATTCATTAATTGAATTTTCACTGACTGGGGGTTATTAATGAATTTCTTCTGACATTGTAAATTTCACTAGGCTCGCAGTCGTGTGCCGTTATGGATGTGCTGATGACATCATTTAATGACCGTAGTCTTGGCTTCTAAAATATCTTCAGGAAAATACCTAAAACAGGGTGATTTCAACTCAGTATCCTCGTTCGCTCGCATGTGCAAGACACTGGAAACGTGAAAACACCTGTGCAGTTTACCTCTCGCGAAGATGACTTGTCCCTGCGTGTCGGATGAAACCATGTGTGAGTAAAAAAAAACTTCGAATTTGGTAAAAAGTGAAAAAATTGTTGGTAAGACTTCCTCTGTAATTGACAAAGAATGAAAGAAAGTTTGACAGTGCTTCTCCACAGAAACAAAACAATACTTAAGAATAGGCTTACTAGCAACTCCTACAGTATCTACACCAGTTAACATGCAATAGACAGCTCTTTTTTCATATTTTCAATTGGCAGCTTGGCATAGATATAAAATTGCATCTTAATTATCAAGATAACAATAAATAAGCTATAAGCTAAACACCAGACTTTCGGCATCAGAGATAGGAATTTCGCAAGGTAACAAATATATGATGTAAAAAGCTGAAAGTATTGCTGAACGCAGTAATCCTTAGGGTGTGACTGGTCGGTTGCGTGCTTGTGATTTTTTTCAATTTTATTGATCATCCATGTTTCACCGTATTTAGTTGTATTCTCTTTCTACTTGATTACTATGAATTATAAAGATATACAATATAAACTATGTGATATAAGATGTATAATCAATACAACTTTTAAGGAAGAACTTCAGACATTCCTTACTAGAATTAAATTTTCTTCTGCCTCACCATATGTCATTAATAAAAATTATTTAGATTATGTCAGATGATCATGTGTATTGATACGAAAATCATAGTTCAAAACAAAATGAAAATCCATGTTAGTTCTGTACGAGTTTTTTTTTAACCGATGATATTATATTTAAGTTAGTCCTAAAAAATATGCTTTAGCTTACGTTTTCTATGGCGGCCATTGAAAGGTCAAATAAATATCTAACAAACAAGAAAATTTAACAAGTAAAACATATTCACGAGCGAATATTAACAAATAATTCATGTTTTTTATTGTGGATGATAGATACAGATAAGAAAATCATTCTTATATTTTTGATACGTATTACAAATGAACAGACTATAGTCTCTGATATAGTTGTTTACATTTGTAGGATGAGAAGAAGGCGAGCGAGGAGTTGACATCCATTTCCTCCTTTTACTTCTCTAATTTACTCAATGAAAAGGTGATGCTCGACCTGTAAGGGACGCGATGGAGAGGGACTTGCCGAGCGACAGGTTCATGGAACTCGACGCTGGCGATGATGATGCTTTGCTCATCCAGAGAATTGATTCCAATGAGATCATCTATTGTCCACCCAAGAGGAAGTACAAGGTGAATTATAGGCCTACACTTTGGTTCAAGCCGGGTATTAGATTTGTTTTTATAGAGTTGATGGGGGATTCTATTTGTTGTGGAGGGAGGGATTGTAGGATTAGTGAGTGCGGTGTTGTTCTTGTTGTTTAAGTGGTTATCTGGATTAGATTTCATGATATTGTTATTCTGTTGTTTTTGTTGATATTGTTTTATAATCTGTTGTTCCTGCCTTGTTTGTAGTGTTATTTTGATCTTCATTATTTTATACTGCTTTTGATTTAAGGTTAATGTTATTCTAGATTATTGTTATTGTTCAGTTTTAGTGTTGTAGTTATTTCTTGTGTCTATAATTTTGTTGTTCCTATGTTATTCTTATTTTTCAGTCTAAGTATTGTTATTTCTTGTGTCTATATTGTGTCATTTATCTAATGAATAATTGTTTGTTTTGCAATTAACTGAAATATGGGAAATATACAATGTACTGATTGAAACAGCTTATTTTTGTTTTACTTGATACAAAGTGCACATACCAATTAATGCTTTTGATCCATGTTGACTAGAAAGGGTGCTATTATTGCTTATGGACCACCTTAGTAGTCTGTATTAGTCTCCCATATTTCCTCTCTCTCTGACCTGGCAAGTCTTCACATCAGATTGCCTGTCCTTGATTGCTGTGTTGTGCACCATGGTCTCATTACTATTCTCTTCTTAGATATCTTTTTCTCTTCAATCTTATTTTTATACAGTTGGTATTTGTATGCTTATCCAGTACTGTTAGTTATGCTGTAAAACGAAGCAAACAAACATTTATCTAACATGATTTACCCTTTACAGAGTTATTGAAAGATTTGTACAAAAATCTCTTATTGATAGTTGGAATAATGTTCTAGATCATCTAGATTCTTTTTTAACATGAAACTGATGGAAAAAGATTTGAAGTTGTGAAAGACCATGAAAGTAGTTGTGAGCAGACCCAAAACTTTAACTAAAATATTGAACTATGTTGACAAGGAAGTGAGCATCAGTTGATATTTTGCCAAAGAACCATGATTGATATCATGGATGTCTCTTTTATATAGGCCTGTACTTTGCTACCCCCATACTTGGTGCTAATTTTGATTTCAGTCCAGAAAATCAAAATGTTTATATGATGGTTATTATTAGATAATAAAATGTATACTATTGCTATGATGGTATTATTTAGTACCTATACATATTTATTAAGAGCTTAAAAGACCCTGCAATGGCTTTCAAAACAAAGTTGTTGTTTTTCTTTACTTTTATTAACTATGATATCTCCATTTAAATATTGTTGTGATATGTAATGAAGGGCCTACATTCAGCTCATTAGAGCAGTAGTCTTAGAGTTTGAATTGTGTTCTCCATAATTCATACTCCAGGAAAGGCCAGCAAATCTCCCATCTGTAAGATATGGCATGGACTAGTTCCTACTAAGAAGTGGTGTACAAGCTCTGTGTTGTCCAAAGGAATGAGGTGAAGATTTAGAGGCTTTTGCCAGGAGACCTACTGGTGAGGAGGCCGTGCTCAGTAGCACACAGCCAACATCAGGTGGAGAAGTGTCTTTTAAACATTTATCATTTATTATGTGGTTGAAGAAACTGACCAAGTTTCTTGTAAAATAGCTGACTGTGAACTAGATAATGCTATATAGCACAGTAAAAAAGTAATATGTTAGTTAATTTTACTGTGTATCAGTTGGAAGGAATGTACTGGATTTATAGAATGGTAAACTGCACTGAGTCATATTTCCAGAAAACTCTGAGAATATATATTACATTTTTATGGTTTTCTGTTTGAGAGAAAACAGTAGCATATAGATAAAATTAAGTGAATGGGCAACCATCATATTATCCCTGAAAAAGTGTTAAAGTTTATTTTTCATTTTCAAGGTGTGGTTACAACAGGATAGTGAAATTTCATTCTTTCTATTTTACTCAAGTATACTTAAATTTTCACCTTTGTCTTACAGCTGGTTGGGAAATATGTTATGGGAGACAAGCTAGGTGAGGGGAGTTATGGCAAAGTCAAAGAATGCCTGGACTCAACCACTCTACAACGCAGGGCAATTAAGATCATGAAAAGGAAGACCCTCAGAAGGATCCCAAATGGTGACCAAAATGTCCAGCGAGAAATCAGGCTTTTGCGAAGGCTAAGACATCACAATGTTATTAGTTTATATGATGTTTATCACAACGAGGCAAAAGGCAAGGTAAGTAACAGGAAATTGTATCTGTGTTTTACTTTAAAGGTTTGCTATTCCTTTCTCCTAGTTTTGCAGATTTTTTTCGAATTGTATAAGTAGTCTGCTTGTAGATAGAGATGAATTGAGACTTTTTAAAAGACTTATCATTAGTATATCTATATTTTTTCTCTTTATATTGTTTTAAGTATATCTACAATTTTTCAGATATACATGGTCATGGAGTTTTGTGTTACGGGGTTACAAGAAATGCTTGACAGATCAAAAGACAAAAAACTTCCTATCTGGCAAGCAAACAAGTAAGTCCTTTTCCTTAGTATATCGTGAATTGTGAAAGGAGACAATAGCTTTTTTTTCAACATACTTTTCAGTATACTTGGGTAAGGCACTGCTTTTACAAATAGTAAGCCTGGATAATCAATTTAATTTACTATATGACCAGTTTTTACCCTAGATACTGATGTGTTAACATTTTGAGGTGTAAATCATTATAGTCAAGGTAATTGAACTTTTAATAGCTGGAAAGTTTAACCGTATTCATGTTGACAAATATAGGAAAGGTATGAATCAAAATGAATATATCATCAGAATACAAGAGATGTATTTGCCTGGTTTCAAATATATCTTTGTCAGAAATGTACGGAAAATATTGGAAGGATAGAAGGCTTTGAAATTGTCGAAGTCGGTTTAATAAAAAGTATCCCATTAAGAAAAGCATGAACATATCATTCAAACATATAGGCAGTAAAGTATACTCAAAGTTACAAGACAATGAGATGTTATAAGGATAGATTGCTTGATACTAAGACTCAGAAATTAGTCACTTAACATAAACATTAATTTACTCCCTCTCTTGTTATCGATAGCTAGTCAAAAATATTATTATACTTTCCATGATTTAATTTTTGCCTTTATCCCCCCACAGATATTTTGTACAGCTGGTAGAGGGACTAGAATACTTGCACAGCCGAGGTGTAGTGCACAAAGACATTAAACCTGGCAACCTCCTTCTTACTTCTGATAATATGCTCAAGATTTCAGATTTTGGTGTTGCTGAGGTAAGTCAGAATTTTTTCTTTCTTTTCTTTTCTTTTCTTTCTTTCTTTCTTTCTTTCTTTCTATTATCCTATTCTGTTCTAATTTTCCATCTTTTGCCTTCCCTTCCTCTTTTTTCTCCTCCTCCTCTTCCTCTTTTCTGCCACCCACTTTCCCTCTCCCTTTATCACCATTTTCTCTCCCGCCTCTACATCCACATTCTCTATTTCCACCTGCATCTTTACCTCTACCACCTCTTCTTTCTCTCTTCCTCCTCTTCCTCCCTCTCCTCTTCCTCTTCCTCCTCTTCCTCATCCTCCTTGTTTCCCTTTCTCTTCCTCCTCCTCTTCTTCTTTCTTCTCTTTTTTCTTTGCTTCTTCTCTTGCCCTTCCTGATGCTCTGTTTATCTTCCTTATCCCATTTCCCTTCAACATCTGCCATTCCCAATTATTTCCATTGCACTTATTTCTTTTATTGATATTTCTTCAAAAATTGTACTTTCTTGGCCACTATTTTAACCTCTGACATATAGGGAGAGGTCTTACAAGGCCAGGTGTACCAAATCACATCATATAATATAAACTGCATCAACCTTTTTCTTTGTGAGAATGAAATAAAAACAAAACAAAGTATAGTGTTAGTGTAAGCATATTAGAAAATTTGCACAAGTCATTTTATTCATAATATCTGCAGGCCATGTTTTATCAAGGCTGATTTGTAGTAGTGTGAAGTCTAGATAAGGCAACCAGGCAATGAACATGTGCCTTGTGCATGAGATCTAGTAGCCATGTCACCCAGCTCAAGTCTGAAATTTGGTATAACATTCTATCATGCCATCCAGCGCCAAGGATTTAATTTAGTATATATTGTTAACCCTTACAATCCGAGTGATGTGACCATCATGTCATGAAAAAAATGTGGCTTGAGGGCTGGGTGATGTGAACATGCCATAATTGGAAAATCTGGCTGTGGGCTCGGGTGACACGACCTTGCCATAGTGAGCATTTTGGCTGAAGGCTGGTGTGACCGAAGAGACTCGCAATGGGTGAACAAACCTCTTGGAAGGTGATTAGACTCATTTAGCATATAGAAGGGTTTTTGCATTATTTCAGTTGATAAACGAGTGTGGAATGTAATGTCTGTGAGCCATAACTGGAAGAGCATGGTTCTAGTAGGACACCATGTCCATGCCCAGCAAACAAAAATTTAAGTATTACAAAAAGAGGACATAATTAACAAATTGTTACTTATTGTATAATTCATGCACTGAGGTATGGACTACTTAGAGAGACGACATGGAGTCTGTGCAAGAAAGATTGTCACTAAGGCAATGTGATACCTTAGTGATTGCTGCAGTCCCATCAGTCCCCCTTCCCCTTCCAGAGAGGCATCCAGGACAGCATGCAACACCTGCACCATAGGTTCAACACCAGCCTTTAACCCAATCGTGGCGGGTGTGACATATATGAGACACCGGAAAAAATAAACATTGTCGGGCGTCCCGCCAGTGTGATGCTGTAATGGGGCTGCGCTCCGACGCAGGCGGGCAGACAGACTCCAGGGAAGCTCTGCCCGCCAATTTTGTAGCCGCTTGGAATTTTTTTATTTTGGCTACAAAATGTACCCGGTGTGAGTAGGTTAACAGTTCAGCTGGGTTGCCGCAGATACCCGCTGCTTTCCCACTCTTTAGCTTGGAGATCACCCCCCGAAGTTCAGTTAGGGAGGGTGGCTCCTCACTGATGGGTGGGGTCTGGCAACAGAATCTCGGCACTACCCACATCCAAGTTAACTGTTGGTGGATCAACCTGGTACAACTGCTCAAAATACTCAGCCCAAAACTCCCACACCACAACAGGATCTGAGACGATCTGGCCACTTACTAAGCGAACTGCTTTCCCTTGTGAAGAGGGCTCAGAGTTCTGCTTTCTCAGGACTTGTTATGCAAGATGAAGGTCATTTACTAAGAAATGGCCTTCAGCCTCCTCAGCAAGACTCCTTAGAAACTGTTCCTTGTCCCTTTGTAACAGTAACCAATTTCAGCGCACCTGAGAACTGTGCAAATCTTGTTCCCCTGTCAGACGAGCTGCAAGACAAGCATCTGCGGCTTCCAGTGTCTCCTGCGAGATAAAATTCTGTCTTGCTCTAGGGTGTTCACCAATCGATTCTTGAGCTGCATCAAGTGTTTCACGCTTTAAGGTGTCCCACAGAAGTACAGGGTCCGTCAGAATGTCGAGTGCTGCGAAACAGCCAGAGATTTCCTCAGCAAATCCCCAGGCACACTTCCCCTCCCTTAGCTTGTCCAAGTGAAACACCCTAGGGTACCACAACCAATCTGTGGTCAGTACCATAGAACTTGGCACTCCTATATACCCTGCTGATGTGGAGGATCCTGCAACAAAGGCTAATGAGTATGTGGTCAATCTCCCTGGCTGCATTACTCACATTGCTGTACAACGTTCAACGATGTGGGTCAGAAATCCTCAATTTGTGGGACTTTGCAAAGTCCCGGTAGGAGCGCACACAGCAATAAGAGACATGAAGCCAAATGCTAGCTTCAGTCCCAATACCATTGTATGCTCATCGACTAGAGTAACCTCAACTACTGAGGGCTGGAGTCTGCTGGAGATGGCTATGGCTACTCCCAGAAGATGGTGACTCACTGCAGCCTGACCAGTAGTAAGTGTAGCCAGCTACACTGATCATGCCACTGTCATCATGACAAAAGAATGGATGTTCCAAGCCCCCACACTGACTTCCCGCCTGAGGTTTACCCTCGGGCTGTCACTTCGGGTGGATGCCACCTCTGCCAACCCCATTGATGCTGCCCCATATAAAATTAGGGGGCAGCAGGCTGCAGGACCCAACATCCACCTGTGGGGTTCCCTTGGGCTTTCCCTCACAAGCTTCATTCCGGGCTGGCAATTGCCAGAACGTGCCCCAGCAGTTGCCTTCCCAGCAGGGCCCGCAGCTGGATGGGTGGTGATTTTCCATTTATATTTTGCTCTGCCGGTGGGATATCTGGGGGGGGGTAGGACTGGCAAGGCCCAACTCCCCGTGCTCCAGTTAACCCAGGGGGCTTAGGGGCAGGAGCTGGTATAGGGTCAGGGTGTGTGCACACGCCGGTCGGCCATGACCTTGTCCCTCTGGGGCCTGCTGCTGCTCTGAAATCCCTCCCAGTTTAGCCTGGGGCCGCAAGGTACCAGTTTCCATAGGTGGCCACGAGGAAGCAGAAGTCTCGATGATGGAGATGCTGTGAACTGGCAGGGGAGGCTTATGCAGAGCTGCTCCCTTTTTCGCACTAGTCTAACCAGTGGTGGCAGCTGCAGGCGAGAAGGCATGCAAGCACTTAACACTATCTAGGCTACCACACTATTGCTTCACACCACCCTGCATGTGAAGCACCAACCTATATATATATATATATATATATATATATATATATATATATATATATATATATATATATATATATATATATATATATATATATTATATATAATATATATATATATATATATATGATATATATATATATATATATGATATATATATATATGATATATATATGATATATATATATATATATTATATATATATATATATATTATATTATATAATTATATATATATATATATTATATATGATATATAATATATATTATTATATATATATATATATATATATATATATATATATATATATATATGAGATATTAAGACATTTATATACAATATTTGTATAATATATATAAAATATATATAATACTTACATATATAAATATATATATATGTGTGTGTGTGTGTGTGTGTGTGTGTGTGTGTGTACGTATGAATATTGCTTGTGTACTTCACATAAGATATGCTTCTTTTAAAATATTTATTTCCATGTGTACTATTCCCAACAGCAACTGGATGTGTTAGCAGGCAAAGATGAGATCACAACCAGTCAAGGGTCTCCACTGTTCCAGCCACCTGAGGTTGCAGGCGGAGCTCGAGTGTTCTCTGGCTTTAAAGTGGACGTTTGGAGTGCTGGTTGTACTCTGTAAGTTTATTATGTTTTATAAGATTGAAGATTTGAAGACCCTTTTTTTTAGCTTGTATTTTTATTGAAGAGTCTTCTTGTATATAAGAAGGATTTCAAAAAAAAAAATGGTTCTGTAAAGTAAGATAGTGCTTCATATCAGTCAGAGCTTCTTTATCTGGCTGGCTCTTTATTCTTTGGGGTTTGTGCTTTGATGAAAAGAAATAAAATCTTTACCTTTATATATCAGAGGCTTGGGATCCTTTATTTTTGTTACATGTTTCATTTTCTAACTTCATTAAGTGTGGACAGCACTGCCTGTTGTTGGCTCTTCAACCATCTCTCCTAGTTGGTGACTTAGAGTGTGAAAACTCAACACCTCTATCACCGTATAGCAACATACACTTGAGAACCACCTGAAGACACCAACCCATTGTATCCTCACAGCCAGCAGATGGCCCTAGAAATCATTGAGTAAGGACATATTACCATATTTTGCTGGCTTGAAAAACACATACCCTCTTTCAGTCAAAGTTATCTGTTATTACAGGTGTCCTTTGCTTAACCACTAAGAACTGCAAGTCCTTCAGATTGTTCCCCACCGCTAGCCACAAAAAGAGGCGTGATACTTAGGTTTAGATAAGACAAGTTATGGTTAAAGGCATTTCAAGGACTCACTTTTCTGCACCAGAAAAAGTGTTTAATTGTTTTGTATTATAATACATAAGCTATCAGTAGAGCACCAAATTGAAGAAGTCCATTGCCTGTGAAGAAAAAGGGGATAGCCTGATATAGATATGTAAAGAACGCATATGAAATAATGTATATAGTTCTTTTATCATGTGAAACAACAAGATGCCATTAAGTATCAGAATTACTATAACCCACTCACAACATTCCATTCACAGGAAGAAGGAAGTGGGATAACATAGGAGGGGGATTATTATGGGTGAGGCTGGAGACATTTCTCAGATATTACCAGATGTAATATGATCATAGTGAATAGTAAAGCATGCACATTGTGCAATTTGCCACAATCATGGTGAATAGAACTAAAGTATTAAGTATTAATGTATTAAAGTGCATCAGTATCTCTAAACATTTTGAAGTTAACCCACTGGATAGGGACGGTAGGGTTACATGCCACATCCACTGTAATTTTGATTTATTAATTGTGTTTATATGAAGATGGCTCCACAAGTGCTTAGTCACTAGGAAGTCAGTTACTTGTGCTACCTATTTTACCTGATTACACTTTTTCTTGATTTTTGGATTTTCTTTTAAATTAATTTGCTGCTTTTATAGTTGGTAGTATTTTAAGTACATTGTAATATTCATAATGTTAATGATAACAATGACAGTATTGATATTGATATTAGAAAAAAGATCCACATGTTTAAGGAATGGGGAAATAAGGCACAGTCACAAAGGCCTACCAATTGACTACTCAGTGACTGAGCACTTGTAGAGCTCTCTGTGTGCCACAAAAATCACAAAAGGCTACAGTTAACAGTACTTAAATCAAAATCCATTGGGTTAAGATCGTAAAATCAAGTGGTTTACCAAAGAGTAAATGAATGTGTAATGCCTCTTATGTCAGTGATGGAATGAAGAGAGTAGAATGAAAATAAGTTTTCAGTCATTCATTTTTTAGTTATTCATTTTATCATGTAGATTTACCATGGTAAACATAACTGGTATACCTTTATTGTCAAATATTGCCAGGAAAGAGGATTCCAATATTCAGTATTCGTATATGCCTAGGACACAGTGTAGTCCCTTCTTAGATATATATCTTTCCTAATTTTCATCGTGTGGTAAAGCATATAATACTAAAATAAGAAATGACACCATGTAAGCCAAAAGAAAATTTGTAACTAACATCTTTGTCCTTTCCCAGCACTCATTTGCTTTTTTCTTTCTTTTGCTGAAATACTTTCAAATGACTTTCCAACAAGTTAAAAAAAATGTATTTACTCTAGCAAGGATGAAAATTTTAAATGACTCAATTCACACTCACACACACCAAGCTACCTTCCTTTTACAGGCTACTTTCATATAACATAACTAGAATGTATCATTGACCCACTAGCGCGGGTTTTTTGAAACCAAAAATAATAGTTTCTGGGCGGCTATAAAATCGGCGCGTGGGGCTGGCCCGGAATCTGCCCATGCGTATCATACTTCATCTTAAGCAACACACCGCAAAAAGTCTTATTCCATGGTTTCATGTTTCATGGCACATGTTTTATGACGAAAGAAGAACGGAAACCAATTTACTGATCCAAAATTATAAACGCTATTCTAATGGGCTGTTGCCGCGAGTGTAGATCCTCACTTTCAAATTAGCCATTTCTTGTTTATTTGTCTTTGGTATAAAAAAATGAATTTTGTTATAATCAACCATAAAGGTTTTATATAAAATCTCTATGATTTATCAATAGTTCAAGATATTGATAATTTCTTTAAACAAATTACAAACAATAGTTTTTAATTGCATCCTGGAAAGACCGAAGATACCCAAGGAAAAGGACACTTTTGGTTGTGTTATCACTGGCTCCCCTCAGCCCTTAGATTTCTCACCAAAGTGAAACGATTTGGCCGAGATAGCCGCACTTATGATCAGACCTGCGTGTAGACAAAGCCAGTTGAACCGCGCTTTAACCCATCCTTTCAGTTGTATCACAGTTGGAAGGCCAAGTATGAAAAGTACAAGGCTCAGTATTAGTTGGTGGTGTAAGAAAGGTTGAAATGTATTTCATAAAACAGAAGTATAAATCAAGAAAAAGGAAATCATTCTTACAGATGAGTTATTCAAGATAAAAAATATTGGCTAGGCTTTAGGGGCTAAGGTCTGTGAAATCACAGAGACTTAGATAAGATTTATTTTGAACTTTACAACAGTTAAGTAGTATTGAAAGCAATTAAAATGTGTGTTAATGTACCAATTAGATTTAAGCTACATTATCATTAACTTTTTTAACTGCATAGATGTAAGCCCAAAAGCTAACAATCAAAATGTGTCGATCAACATCTAAAAGTATGTATTTATGAAACCACTTGTTTTAGTGGGTTAGGGAATTTTTAAAATTAGATGTATTGGTATTAGACACACAGAAAAAAAAAATTGCCGGGCATCCCGCCAGTGCGACGCTGTACCAGGGCTCACGCTCCGACTCCGCGGCAGGCCACGGCCGGCGTGTGGGTAGAGTCCGGGCCAGCCCTGCGCACTGAATTTGTAGCCGCCCGGAAACTTTTATTTTAAGCTTCAAAATATACCGGCATTAGTGGGTTAGAGAGGTATTAAAGATATAAGTAAACATGAATAGAAACAAAGATTCAAGCAGGTGCATGGGCAAAAACAGGACAGTTAAAAGAAAACAGGAAAACATGGATTCGCGTGAAGATTGCTACTTTGTAGATGTCATTATCTCAAATCAACCCCATAACAGAAGGAAAGCATGGGAACAAAATGAAGACAATACCATCAGCAGGAGCAGGAGGAGAAGAGCCTCGTAGCAAAGGATGAATGAGGGGCCCAGTGGGCCTACTGATTGAGTGGGAGGGGCATAAACCCTGGAGGTGATTGGTTTGTCATCCATCTTAGTGCCTTTATTTCACTACTACCCAGTTTTTGATACCATTGCCACCATTCCTACCATTTCTATTTTCAAAAAGCAACCGTAATGGCATAATTTATGGAATTTCAGTTAAAAAACAATAGCTTATTAGTTGCCCAACTATGAGGCAAGTGACCCCTTTATTACTTACTTTACTTCAGCAAAGTACAGTGAGATACATTAAAAAGTAATCCTGCAAAATATTCCTTGTATTATAGGAGTGTGTTTTATAGGCCAGCAAATATGGTATTTTAGAAGTACTGTAGTCTAATCACTTATCCTTAAATTGCGGAGAGGTCATAAAACTATTTAATAACATATATTCATCATTTTAAACATTTTTAGTGATTTACATGTACAAAACTTTAATTAGTTACACATCTTTTGCAGTTATAATCTGACAAGCGGGAAATACCCTTTTGAAGGGGAGAACATGTTTCGGCTTTTTGAAAACATATGCGAGAAGCCTTTAGTCATGCCAGAGGAGCTGGACCCTGTTCTCAAGACGCTGTTAGAAGGAATGCTGAGAAAAGAGCCTAGCGAACGGTTATCCCTGAATTTGGTCAAGTCTCATGAGTAAGTATGAGAATGATTGTCATATTTAGGTTGTTACCAATGATAGTGGACATTTCAGTCATGTAGATTAGCCTATTTAACGAGAATCACTATTGTTGTAAGATATTGGTATATTTTAAATTCATCATACTCTGTAAACTAGTAGGTTTTCCATAGCTGCAGCTTCCAAACATTATTTATTTGTGGAGAATTTCAAGAAAAAATGACATGACCTTATATTATTAAGTTGGAGTGCTGATAAATGTACTTATTACATTTTTGTAATCATAATTTTGCAAACAGTTTCAGGTATGCACACTCATGGTGTTTATCTGTTGATGCCAGGTGGCCATGTATATCTATTCCCAGTCCATTGTGATTTTATATGATTTATCTTATTAACAAATAGATGTCTTCAGATGTACTTGTCACCACGGAGTAAGTCATGAGGCCTACCCGTTCTCACCTGTTTTCCCATTTCCTTGATTTTGGAGATTCTATTTAGATGGATGAGAGCATTCTTTATAACATTTTGATAATGATGTCAACAATGGCAACAGTAACACTAACAAGGATAATAGCATCAGAGAAAAATATAAAGGAAATCAAAGGATGGGATATTCTGTTGTGGTCAGGTAGGCCTAGTTATTGATTCCTTGGTGACTAAGTACCAGTGGAGCCAGAGAAGTGTAAACAAAATTTACAAAACAAAACAGTGGGCAATACGTTTTTGTCTCATTACAATTCCCCAGTCCTTGATTATTAGAGTCAGTCAGGTACATGTCCTAATGACTGCAGTGTTGTTCTGTCAATTTTTTTGAACAAACGGTTTCACAAGTGGTAAGTCACCAAGGACTCACTTGCAGGGACTATCATACCTCACTTACCAACTCCATTCCTTTAATTTCTGTTTGTTGTTATAACACTTAACAATACTAATAATAATAGAAATAGACTTTTCAAAGAACAGGGTAGAGGTGAAATCAGGTCGGCCTAGTAATTACCCCCATGATGTCTATGTGCCTTGTAGAGCCCATCATGTATTAAAGAAATTTTTATAATACACAGAAAATCACAGTGGACAGTACATTAACATTTACATGTCACATGTTATCAGTGGGTTAGTACATTCCTAGCAAATGTATAGCAGCACTACATATTAATATAATCATTATTCTCATAGTATTATGTCTGTTTTCTTCTCATGCTGATTAGTATTATCTTTATTACAAAACATAGGAATCGCTCAGTTTTTAAAATATCAGATTTAGAAAAGAAAAAAAGAAATTTCTCTCATTGTTTTAGCAAATGCTTGGCTTTGTCATAAAGAAGAACTATTACATATTTCAGGTCTTTCCCTCTATATATTTCCTTCTCCTTTTCTCTTTCCTTTTCTTTCTTTCTTTCTTTCATTTCTATGGCTTTCTCTTTTTTTTTCTTTTTATGTCTTTCTTTCAGTCTGTCTCTTCCTATCCTCTCTCTCTCTCCTGTCTCTCTCTCCTCTCTTGCTCTCCTCTCTCACTCTCCTCTCTCACTCTCCTCTCTCACTCCCTCTCCC